GGAAAGAAGATCCCGCACAGTGGTATGACACGTGCAAAAGTCAGGATGACAGACCGAACAGGAAAGATTGTCGAGATCTATGAGGACTTCGCCTTGGGTCGTGTGCAACATCCCATCCTATGTGCAGGGAAACTGCTGAAGAGAGGATGGTCATTGGGAGAGGTTCAAGGAAGCCTGCACCTGAGACACGAAGGCAGAGCAGTGAACATCCCCTTGAACACAGAAAGGAATTCGCTTCAATGTGAGGCAAGGATCTGTGCCGTACAAAAGGAGGAGAAGCAAGAACCGAAGGAGAAGACAGATGAGAAGGAGGATGCTGCAAGAGTTCAGGTGCTGCAAGGCTACTTGAGCAAGTACGTCCAAGAGCTGGAAATGACTCCCGGCTGGCACAGATTGCCAAATGGAGTAGCAGTCTACAGTGACCCGGTGGCGACGCAATTGGTCGACCCTACGGGGAGCATCGAGAAGATCTACAAAGCACGACTGACATTGGTCAAAGGGAAGGATGGACTATGGGAGCAGCTCGAGAAGACCGAAGACTAGCATGTTGGGGCCAAGAGCGTTTCGGAGGATCAGCCTGACAACAGAGCCCCAGCGGACGCTGAGCTTCTTCTCACCGGAGCACTTCAAAGACTACTGGGAACCAGGCAGTGAAGTGCCAGTGGCGCCATATCCTCTGACAGATGGAACTTTTGGGCACCTCGAATGGTCAGAGGATGAGGGAGAAGAAATTGAGGAGTTGGAAGCCCAGGAGATGTACCATGATGTTGAGAAGATGGTAGTTGCTGAGCGACCGCATGAAGTAGAGTTAGATGAGGTCACCTTCTCGGAGAAGATGTCAGTGAAGGAGCTTCAGATGGCATGCAAGGAACGGCAACTAGCACATACCGGGAGCAAGAAGAAGCTACTGGAAAGGCTGGTGGCTTTTAAGGTGAACCTCGAGAATCAAATGGACCTGGCGGTGGCAAGCAAGCTCTACAATGAGCAGAGAAGAAGGCCAGTTACACTTGGCCAACCGAAACTCCCAAGTTTGGCTGAGCAGGAGTTGCACAATGTGACTTACTGGCCATTCGCTTCATGGTGCCAAGCCTGTGTAGCAAGTCGGTCAAAGGAGGACAAGCATGAGAAGTCCGAGAATAAGGAAGACATCGGAAAGAACATCATCCAAATCGACTTTTGCTACACGTACACGGGAGAAGAAGACAGATCAGAAAAGCCAGTACAGGATAAAGTGGTGGAAAGGCAGGACCAACATGGAACAGTACTGGTGATGACAAGTTCTGAGACAAAGGCCATTCATGCAGTTCCTGTACCGAGCAAAGGCAGCGCCAGCCTTAAGACCATCACGGAAGAGATTGTCAGGTTCGCTCTGGAAAATTCTGCCCGTGACGCTTGCATCATTCAGGCCGATAGCGAGAGAGCAACCAGGCAGATCCTGAGGTCCGTGCAACAAGTCAGGAACGTGCTCGGCATGAAGACGGAGATCCGATTGACAGGAGCTGGACAACACGCCTCAAATGGTCAGGTTGAGCGGGCGGTGCAAACAGTCAGGAAAATGGCGAACTGTTTACGATGGTATGCAGAAGACAAGGCTCGCATCAACATCGAAGGAGACTTCGACATCTACCCATGGTCATTCAAGCACGCATCCTTCGTGATCAACAGATTTAGAGTGCTTGATGGGGTCAGCAGAACGAGCTTTGAACTGGCGACTGGACATCCCTATCGGGGAAAGTTGGCTTTGTTCGGTGAAAACGTGCTGTTCAAACGTGCAGTCAGGAACAAGGGCAGTGCAGTGTTTGAGAAGGGCGTCTGGGTGACAAAGCACCCGTGGAATGACAATCATGTGCTGCTATCCACAATGGAGCCTATGAGTCAAGGACAATTCGCAGACTGGCACCCCGAGGATAGTTTCAACGGCCCAGAGATCTTCACTGCAAAAGGATTGCCCTGGAGTTACTCTGCACAAGGAATATTGATGAAGCATGCTGGACAAGCCCAACGATACCGACAGCCAACATTGGAGATGGAGGCCAGTGAAGAGGAGCTCACAGCTATTGCTCAGGACGTGGCCACTGGGGTCGTCACACCCGCACCAGGATGTCAACCCATAACGCCAGGCATTACGCTGACCATGACAGGACCATCGAAAGTCGAAGCATCGAGGACACCACCAAAGGCTGCAGAGAAGAGGCAATTGTCCGAGGAGGAGAAGAGTGAAGGTGAGCGAGAATCCAAGAAACTCGATGCATCAGAGTCTCCGAGAAAGCAAGCCGGGAAGAGACAAGCGGAAGCGGCGGAAGAAGGTGATGAGAAGAAGAGCCGAGCTGAAGGTGGTCATCATCATCGTGAAAATGAGCGAATGATGGCAGAGCCAGAGGGATCACCAAGGATGTCACCGTCACACAACATGGGACACCTATACCCACCACACTATGCAGGAGTTGGTGCGATCGGTGTGGAGCCTCATGGGGACGAAGATGTGGACATGGAACTGATGCCAGAGGACGTGATTGAAGAGCAGTTGATGGGATATGGTGGTGAAGAAGGAGACGATCCCCCAGAGGTGAGCGACGAAGAATTGGAGACACTCGACAAGGAAGCTCGCAACACAGAGATCCAGAGGATGTTGGAGATGCCTGCAATGATAGAAGTGCAGAAGGCAGAGGTTGAGCAAGATGAAGGATATATCATCAGCACGAAGATGGTAATGTGCTGGAAACATCGCCTGGAGAGAGGTGGATGGTTTAGAAGGGCAAGACTTGTGGCCAGGCAGTTCAAGAATAGCATAGACTTGGAAGCCACATTTGCTCCTACATCTATGATGTTGCTGCCGAAGATGCTGATGCACTATCTGCTGAATGCAAGGAGCGAATTTGTGGTAGTTACATTGGACATCAAAGATGCATTCTTGATGGCAGCACAGCCGGCCACAGAAAAGGCCTACATCCAGATCGAAGAGCACATCTACAAGCTGCTCAGATGTCTCACAGGCCAGAAGACAGCCGCATCGCAATGGTTTGGCCTGTTTGCAGCTGCGTGCAAGGAGTTTGGCATGCAGCAAGATTTGATGCAGCCCACACTGATGATGATGGAAAACCTCCTGTACCTCACAGTCCACGCGGACGATGTGTTCATGGTGGGACGAGAAGACAAAGTGAGGGAACTGATCCAATACTTCAAGGAGGAGAAGAAGTGGAACGTGGAGGAGAAAGGCCCATTCCGACAAGGCGACAAGTTCTTCTATCTGAAGAGGCAGTTCAATCTGGGCATGAGGCACTGCGACATAAGGTGCGACAGGAAACAATATGATAGTTTTGAGAAAGAGGTTGACATCTACTCCAGATTCTACAGAAAGACCCCTTTGGATGCAAACTTCACGAAGAAGGATGACTCTGCAGAACTTGAAGGAGCGGAGATCACGAAGTACAGGAGCATCGTGGGGCGGCTCATGTACAGGGCTGGAGAGCGACCAGACGCACAGTATGCCATCCAGCGCCTAGCACGCCATATGGCAAAGCCTACAAAGAATGCCCTGAAGAACGCCTGGCATACCTGCTCCTACCTCTTTGGGACAGGTGGATATGGAGTGAGGCTCGAAGAGAGGAAGAAAGGCCAGTCGGTGATGGATTTCAGAGAGATTGAGGAGGTGGAAGAAGCTCCACAGCATCTGGTAGAAGTGGTCACTGATTCAGACCTGCAGGGAACAAAAATGACCGCAGATCGACGACCTCCATGCAAATCTTCATCGACGGCAACCTCATCGACAGCAAAGTCAGGAGCCAGAAAGCCATTGCGCTCTCATCGGGAGAGAGTGAGTTCATGGCATTGGTAGCAGGATGCTCGGAAGGTCTGCTGGCAAGACACCTATGGAACAAGATCACAGGAGGAGATTGCCAGATGAAAGCAAGGTCCGACAGCTCAGCAGCCAGAGGAATGACCCAGCGGCAAGGCATTGGACGAGTCAGGCACATAGATGCCTCAATGCTGTGGATACAGCAGAAGGAGCGAGAGAAGGTCTTGACCGTGGCCGCGATCCCGACAGACCTCAACAGCGCTGACATCGGCACCAAGAACCTGCCGAAGAAGAGGTTGAAAGGCCTGCAATACATGCTGCACATGGTGGACGCCGTGGGTGACCGCGTAGGTGAGCAAGAGTTCCGGGAGATCGAGGAGCAGCACAGAGTGAAGCAAGGAATGAAGAAGTTTGGAAAGAGCAAGGATCTACGGATCGGGCTTTTGATGCTGCTAGCCACGATCAACAAGGTCGGAAGCACCTCGACAGAAAAGAAGGAGCCAGAAGAAGGTGATTGGACGTGGATGATGCTATGCACACTTGCTTGCATCGGGGCCTTGAGCCTGACTAGAGGGCTATGGAACTATGTCCAGGGGTTCCTAGATGGCACGAAGGACTTCATCCTGAAGATTGAGAAAGTGATGAAGTGGGTCAAGAAGTTCAGCCTGAACGTACAGGTGGAAAGGGCTGACCAAGAGTCCCAAGTGTCAGTGCCAAATGCACGACTCGAACGAGAACTCGAGTTAGCTGCAAATGAGCTCTTCCTGAAGGACACCTACATAGAAGAGCTCGAACAGAGCATTGAGAAGATGAAGGGACACCTGGCTGAATTTCTGCAGGAGCGGGAGATAGCCGAAAAACGCAGCTCCCAGCTCGAAAGGCAGTTGCACAGACTGCGGATGACACCATCCGGCAGAGTGCTGCATTTTGCAGTAGGGTGCCCACACTTTATGCCAGGGCAACCCATAAAGCTCTGTACCACATGTCTGAGCGAAGGAGGAGTGACAGAATATGACGGACAAACGAGACACAGTCACTCAGACATGAGGTTGAACTGTTCATGACTGGGCATTTTAGGCCCAAAGCCTTTTAGCGGAAAACCTGCGCCCGCGCTTTCAGTATACGTATATTTTTTAGTAGTAAAAATTGCAAGAAACTAATGTCGTTTTTTTTTGCAGTCCTGCCAGTCTTTTGGTTTTCGCAGGACCGTTCTCGCATGAATGCGGCTTGGTTAGTGGCTGGCACTTGCTTTGCGCTCGGAGCTTTTTGTGCTGATTTGGCCTTGATGCTGATCAATAGGCCCAGCCCTGTCCTGATGGACCCTCGTTTTGCCCACAGGATTTTGTTCAAACGGTGCAATGTTGGTACAGCACTCCCTGGCTTCGCGGCCAGCCGCAACTGAACAACTGAACATTTTCTTTTGACCAAAGGAGAACGGGCCCTCTGTGAAGAGTCCCTGCAATGCTTTTTTGAACCACAGAGGAACTTAAAAAGTATTTTTCCGCATGGTTTGAAGCAGTCGTTTGGAACAAAGATTGATTGTCTGGGTGCAGGCATCCAGTGTCGAAGAGGCTGAAGTACACACCGGATCAGATCAAGATTATGATTGAAACAGATGCAAAAGAGACGGACGTGTTCATTGAGGAGTGGCTGAAAAACGTCAGGAATATGTACAGCGTGAAGACATGTTTTTTTGAGTCCATCACACATTTTGATGGTAACGTTTCAACCTGTGGATTGCAAATTGACAATCCCTGCCAAGAACATGCTTCTCGTGAAATCTGTAGCTTGACAGGATATGTGCAAGAAGTTACGCGGGATGTTGACCGAGGGCCATCCGGATGCTTGTCCAGTTTGATGCCGAACACTTGCGGATCACTGAGGACAACAAACCTCACGCAAATCCCCGTACAACAGGCGTTTCGAAACAAAGTTCCGAACACGGCAGAATAACAGTCCCAGCGCTGATGCAGACATGGGCCGTAGACGAGGTGTAGACTGAGACGTTTTTTGTTGTTTTTGAAAGACCGGACCAACCCAAAGTTTTCAGACGCTCGAATCTTTCAGGGTAAGTAGGTAAGCTCAAGCTCCTTAGGAACGCCCGAAAGCTACAGGAAAAGATCGTCCACGCGTGCGCGAGCAATGAACACGATTTCGATAGGTCCGTCGAAATGGCGCAGTCTGGCCTTTGATGTGCTGCGGCTTCAAAGGAATATTGTAGCGGCCGCGCGCACGCTTGTGATAGGTTCAGACTGTTTGCAGTGGATCGCAGCATACAGTACAGACAGTGCATGGCATTGCTATTAGTCAAGTTTCCCTAAAAATCAAAAGATTAGTGAGGGCTTCAACGCAGCTCCCCCTGCCCTCAGGCGGGGGAGCTTCCTTGAAGAAGCATGAGCTATCCTGTGTCCTAGGAGCGAACTTGTAGCTAGTAGCTACCTAATCCTCCTAGCGGCCTCCGGGCCTAAAAACAGCAGAAATATTACAATTGATTTTTGTGGGTGTGTACTGCTGGGCTCTTTATGTTTTTTGATCTTGCGGATTTGTGTGGAATCTGTAGATTCTCAGGATTATCGAGGAGCCAAGCTCTTCAGTGGCATAGCTCAACGCTTCATCGCGAACGTTCTGGACAGGCCAGAAACTTCAGTCAGTCTGTGCAACCCTTTGTGTACAAGCAATTTGGCAGGCCAGTTTGTACATGCTTGTTACAAACTACAGTCTCGCTGGATGCCGGTCTCCTCACTATCCAAGAGACAGGTTCTAAAGTCAAGGCAAGCTTTTCCTGAAATCTTGAGGATTGATTCTTGGATGGTGGACAAACAAGCAACGCTTGAACAGCTGAGCAGATGTCAGATGAACATTTGTCAGAAGGAGCCTTTGTTCATGGGGAACACATTCCGAATTCAGAATCCAAACAGCTGGAAAAGGGGACGACACTCTTTAATGTGGACTCGAATAGTCTCAAATTGTTCATTGCTTTGTATTGTCCAAGAAGTGTGCTCAATGGTAGACCTCTTTTGAGAAAGTGAGCGGTGCATACTACCCTGCCAGATTCCAAAATTGTTTTCCAACTGTAGCAAGCAACTGCAATATACTGTCCATTGCAGGGCAGTTGCCTTGAGGGAGTTCCAACAGGGTTCCAATTGTGCGCAACCTGCATTGAGTCCCTTCTAATGTCCAAAACAGTCCTACGTACTGCAAAGCCAGTGGCAGGGGGGAATTCTGTAGGCCTTTTATTTGCATCACATTGCTCAGGAAACAATGGCACTTCAATCGATATTGCTGTTTGCTCAAGAGAAGTTACTTGATGCTTATGCTTTGTCGTGCTCCACTGTCAGGTCAATTCCCAAGCTGAGAGAAGAACCTGAACAACATTTGCAGGAGCTGGGCGCGTTTGGCTATCCGAAGCTTCACCCGGAGGGAAGCCTGAGAGGTTTGAACATTATTAGTAGCGTGGCACTTGTTTCTAATAGCTTCTTGTTACTACTAATAATTACGGTATTCTATTACTGTACATTCTTCTGGTACCAGGGAAGGTCGATGGCATTTTGCATGAAACACTACACACTGCTGGGCTTGCAATTGCTTCCAAGCTGCACTCTTCTTCCTTCTGGTTCTCTGGCATCAATCAAGTTCAAGTTGTGGATTGTCCAATCCGGGCGATGCAACATCATTTTCTGTGGCTCTCATGATGGCTGCTTCTCCAAAAACAAGCCAGGAAGGGTGAAAGAGCCATGAAAAAGTTAGCCGGTGTGGTTCCTGGCTGATCCTTGCTGAATGTATTTTCATGGGGTGCATCCTGTCAAGCAAATTGACCAAGTCTGGCTGGAGCGCCAGGACGTTGCCAGATGGATCTCCAACGTTGGTACCGATGAGGAGATTGAATTCTTTCAAAAACGCTTCCCACACGTCAAGCGCCCTTGGTGGCAGTTGATCCACTTGAACATCGTTTGCAGGCTTCATTTGCGACAGGTTGTTTTGAACCTGTGCTCTTCAGTCTCAAACAATGTTCCCTCAGTCAAGAGTTTACAAGACGAAAAGACGGGGGAATGGGTGTCCCAGAACAAAAGAACACCAAAACAGTTTACACTTCGTTCCAGATGTGTCCTTTGTGCTTGGAATGGAATGCTGTGTTTGCCTCCTCAAGGGCTCTCTCTCGCTCTCTCACTCTCTCTCTCTTTCTCTCTCTATTCAAAACTTCATGCTCTTCTTTTGAACTCTTGTGCGTGCAGGTTGTGGACTTGCTGATGGCTTTGCAATGCATTTGAAAGGAAGCGCACAGACAAACGCACACACACACAAAACGAGCACCAGGTCAGTTGGGCCTCTTCGGGTGCAGTTAACACTGGTCCAAAGGTGGGCCACACATCCTAGGGGATGCCTAAACGTCACCCTGTATACCCTCAGCTGTTTGGGCTTGTGGAATGGCAGCAGCACAGGTTGCGATTGCCTGGTGACCGCCGCCCCAGTGATGCTTGTCGGGATGGGAAGATGTTGCCACGAAGTCGCAGCTGGTTGTTGGGGAGCATCTGGCGCAAAGTAAACTTTCAAGCTCAGATGCCGGGGAACTCCAACAAACCAACCGAACGAATGAACAGCCCATGTTTGTCTAGCATTGGAGCCTTGAACGGTCGTGCTTTCCATGGACATGCTAGGTAGGAGAAGTGATGTTGTGCCACGTCGGATTTCTACAGTGATCATTCTTTATTGGTAGCTCAGCTGTTTCGTAATGTAGCTCATTTGGCAAACGCATGCTTGCCGTATCCTGTCATGGCTGCTGTTCCATGAAGCTACAGCTCACGAAGCTTAGGAACCACTGTCTCCGGAATCCAAAGACTACACATGAGATGCAGCGCAAAGTGCGCTTGAGATGGACAGAGCTGTCCCACACGAAGCCCACAATGCCGCTAACGAACTTGCGGCTGTTGATGGATGTTCTGGAACACAAGTGATGGCTAGTTTGGTAGTTCCATCGTCCCGACCCTGGCGTAGTCTAGTCATTCTCCGATACACAAATTGTTCAGACAGAGCTATTGACCTGCCGGGAAACGCATCCTCTTTCTGAGGAGGTGTGCACACTCTAATCACCAATCCAATTTTCGGGTAGTATGTAGATGCCCCGAAACTGGTGAAAGGGAGAGTTGCTGCCTTAAACTGGTTCACTCCTAGAAGAATCTGCAAGATATTAATCCTGGCGACTTGTTAATTTTGAAGAGCAGCTAGCCGAGATGAGCTTCTAGCCAGACTCCTGCTCCAAACAAGCCGGACTGTGGAACTTGCGCCTGCCCTTGCCGTGCGGCAATGAAACTGCAACCTCTGGCAACTACCCACTGCGGTTTTTGCAGCAAAAGTGATGAATAGCCGTTGATTGACTCAAGGTTTTGCTTGCAGCATGGCATGGTGTTTTTTGCTTTCATGATATCTCCCTGCCGTTCGAGCGCTTGATCGACGGAGTGAGTCGCAGCATATGCTGACAGACATCTCTTGCTATTGACGCAGAAACACATCGAATCCATTGTTGAGAAACTTGTATATCAGACTAAGATGGTGTCCTACGAAGACAACCCAGAGCATCGATGTTTTGATTATTTGCACACAGGGTTGCTTTATCCGAAATTATCTGCACCAACATCTCATTTTACCTTTGTATCTAATCTTTAGGCTCACTTGCTGGAGCAACCGACTTTGGATGTCTTGGAATCCCTAGCTTGAGAGCCCGGTTCTTGACACACTGTAAATGAGTGGGTGACACGTTTGCGTCTTCGTCCTTGCAGATTTGTCAGCGCAGCTTTGATAGCCTGGGGTCAAACTCCAAGGCTTTCAAACGTCTATCTGAGTATCTCTTTATGAGACAATTAACGTGGTTTGTGCAAGGCGGCTTGTCCACGCCGCCACACCCAACCTCCAAATTGAGGAAGGAATGTCGGAAGAAGAGAAAAAGGAGAGTAGAAATCGAAGGGTTTTTTGGTCCCTTCAGTAAGGCGACTTTCAAGGGGGCCTTATTGAAGGATCCAACAGTTTACTATAATTCTCCTCCTGGCCGGAAGGCTGATGAATTGCTTCACAGTAACACTATGCAAGGCAATTGCTTCCTCCTCCTTTTGAGCAGTTGCTCTGGGATTACTGGACTTGTAGCAAGCCAAAACAAAACTAATCCAGAAAGCGAAACTATCCAACACATTCCAAAACTCTTCATCTTGCGTTGCGCTGTGCCAATGCGCAGGTCCAAGATGAAGGAGCTGGACGTATGAGCCTCAGGGGTTGAGAGTCTGAGGGTGCAGAATACAAAAAGTCTTCATCAGCACTCTGACACGTCATCATCGTCTGAACACAACAAACAGGTACATCCTCCTTTGGTTCCAGTGCAGTCTTCCAAGTTGCTGCTATGTCTCTGGCTGATTTTGTGCGCGATCGCCAGGAAGAGGGACGAGACCTGTGAACAGAGCAGCTAGTACGTTGCACGCATGGGCTACACTTGCATGAAATTAACGCAGTTGTACATGTTTTAGTTGACAAAGCACCTCCTCTTGCAGCCATTCGAGTAGCTTGTCATACAGTTTCTCTACCTGAAGACGCTTGGAAGTGCTTCAGGTAGTCTGTCGTGAAGCAAGCCCTTTGCACTTCTCCGAGATTGTTATCCGTAGGGCTGCAGCAGAAAAAGGGCGCGGCCAAGTGATACTGTAACTAGACATGCCCTCAGCAAGTGCTAGTCAAAATGGAAGAATCGACAAACCATTTCTGAGTGAAGTCTTTTTGATGGCATGTCCTTGATTGTGGGCGCACAAGTATGAGAGCAGTCAGAGAGCAACACTATCGGGACAATTGTGGGAGGTGTGCAGACGAGCCCAGGCTGATTCTGATGGCAGGCAAATTCTAGAGCGCTGCCGTTCGTGAACAGATCCTGAGGATAACCAAATGTAGCGATTTCTGGCGAGAAATTATTGGGAGTTGCGAGTACAAATTTCTAGAGAAGTATAACCAACAAAAGGGGTTTCAAGAGAAAAGAATCAAACAAGTACAGTAGAGATTTCAATTGAACAGTAACCAGTATATAGAGATATATAGACGAGTAGAGATGTCTAGAGAAAGTGGCCACAAGTAGAGCTTTCTAGCGAAAAGTAGCCTTTAGCGCAAAGTAGCCAAGAGCAGAGCCTTTCTAGCGAAGAGTAGCCAAAAGTAGCGATCGATAAAATAAAGCCAACAGTAGCGCTTTGCTGAGACAATAACTGTAAGCAAAAGTAAAGCTTTCTAAACAAAATTAGCTGGACGTAGTTGCTCTTAAAGGCAAGTAACCGAAGGTAGTAGCCGAGGGCATTTTTTAGAGACAACTAGAGATTTCCAGAGCAAAGTGGGCAAGAGCAGAGCTTCATAGCAAATTGTCACCACAAATATTGCCGTAGGTTGGAGGCCATCGATCTCTAGCAGGTTGGAGGCCATCGCTATTAGGTTTCTATTGTTCAAGAAGACACATCACATCACAGAGCACGCCTTTTCATCACAAGACACTGCAACACACTTCGCTTCGCCACATTGCAAACAAACAAATCAGACATCATCATATGACCCAACATCACTCAACAGATCATCAACTATATTCATCACACATATCACATTCAAACGCCTGCCCCTGCCCACTGACTCTGCCGGAGAACTACCTCGTATGGTAAGATGATGTAGGGGGCGGCACAGCAAAAGGACGTGGTGTGTTGTGCACCCCATTGAACGGATGTGCTGCGAGCGTAAGCAAGGGAAGGAGCTGCGACTTTGATGCCGTTTAGGATCCGTTTGGGGTTCAGGGATGTTGCTTTCCTCGCGAACGCGAGCTGATGAAATGCAGGGAATCTCAGTTGCTCTCACAGAATGCATGCTCGCATGAGGGACTGTCTCAGCCCTCAGAACCAATAGTCAGAGATCCAATGTTGTCAAGATCCATGCCCCCAAGCTTAGAATCGATCAATGACTTCCTTAAGAGCGTATCGGCGACTTTGTCAAGAGTCAGTCAAGACGATCACACTGATGATTCTCCCAGGCTTCATCCTTTCCATCCTTTGGGCAATGAGCCATGCACAGCAGTGCGCTTATGCCTCGCTGGCATGTTTTGGCAGGCTTCTCCAGAGATCAATATGCCCGAAGAAGAGGCCAACATGATGCCCTCTTCAGACTCCAAAGGATTGCCTGTTTTCGCTATCAAAAGGCGCCCTCGCGGTACGAGACTCGCTACTTGGTGTTGTTCACAAAACGATCAAAACGGATGACCTTGTTGGTTTCACAAGCTTTGCTTAGAAACAAGTGAGTTTCTCACAGTGGGCCAAGTCGAACATACTGTACTTTGGATACTCTTGAACCGCCTTGCAAATCACAAAATAAGAGCCCACAAAGTTAATTGGGAAATCGGAGTGAATCGAAGCCATTTAGAGTTGAGGCCTTGCACGTGTTCTGTAGTAACACCTCGGCTTGTGTTTTTTTATTGGCCAGGTACCTTTGGCGAGCAATTGGTCCGGGTCAAACACATCGACATCCTGGCGCACATACGGTGGAACTTTGATAGCTGAACTACCTGACTCGCAGTGCCGCCAAGCTGATTTGGAGTCATCGATCTTGAGTGCCAACTTAATGTTTCCTATGCCCGCTAGCTGCGGTGCCCACCCGAAGCAAGCGCTTCAAGTACCAATCTAGAAAATCATCATCATGTCCGAGCTCACCAGAAAGACGATCCACTGTGAAGCATGCTTTGCCAATCTCAGAAGGGCCGTCTCAAGCGCATGGATTACTTGTTTCTGGCAGAACTATACAAAACCTATGGCTTGGGTTGGCAGCTGCTGGCTTGTTGCAATGAATCAGGGAGCGCAGAGTCCAACCATGACCGAGATAGAGTGAAGCCCTCCGGATCAACATTGACAGAGCGAAACATGCTTTTGTGTTTCTGTGGTCAGGTCATGGCACTCTTTCGGCTATATTCCTTGCAATCAGTGCAACAACGGACTATACTAACTATATATAAATATATACAGATACAGACACATAGAATACACTACCGGATACGTAGATAATTTCCCATCAGCGGTACTATTGGATTATATAGAGCTTGCTGAACGTCTCCAAGTCTCATCAGTTTCTCCACCATCGAAGATGCAAAAAATGGTGTCGCCTCGCCTCGGCAGTGCACTTTGGAGTCTGAGGTAGAACAACCACGACATCGACGAAGACTTTCAGTACTTCTTCAACTTCGTCCACTAGAACCCTGGCTTTCGATGGGACAAGTGCAGAACTTTAGTCTGTCCGTTTAACACTTCGCGAGCACTTCAACATGCAAGATGGCATGGAGTGAGGCTTTTCATGACCACGAGATCAAGCTGTTGCTGAGTTCATTGATTTCCACAGCCAGACTGCAAAGTCATTCAAAGTCAATAGATGTGAGTCCACTCTCTGTGTGAGTGTGTGTCCAAAATCTGTGGCTTAAGGCTCGACAACAACAAGTACCAGGAGAGTTGTTCCGAAGACTGTACACGAACGAACGTCATTTGATTTGCCCATGTGTTCTTGTTTCTTTGGCAGTTTGTTGGGTCCTTTACGCTTCACTTGCACGTTTGCCCTCATCGACGTTCTCAAAAGTTCCCGCGATCTGCAACATGTTGATCATGTTCTGTTTTGTTTGTTTTTACAGGAGTTCCACCACAAGCTCCAGCAGTACG